TATAACAATCTTCCTGACTTTGCTATCAGTCCCCTTGCCAATAGTATAACAATCACTTTGCTATCAGTCCCCTTGCCAATAGTATAACAATCTTCCTGACTTTGCTATCAGTCCCCTTGCCAATAGTATAACAATCACTTTGCTATCAGTCCCCTTGCCAATAGTATAACAATCTTCCTGACTTTGCTATCAGTCCCCTTGCCAATAGTAGTGTGAATCAATGATTGCTCTCTATTAACAGAGCCATCACCAACATGGTGTTCTCCCTGTTCTTTCCCATCATTCCATGGTTACTGCAACTCATTCTCTTTGGTTGGTTTGTGGCTGTGTTAGCGTATCCTTACGTATTTTACTAGTGCTTTTATTGAGGGTAGAAACCTGTCAAACCAGGAGGCTCAGAACAGAAGCTCAAACCTTTTAACGTCGAAGTCAACAAGAACACAATGATACGAAAACGCGCAGCGTTTCAGGAATATAGTGTATTATTATTGATATCCGTGAAAGTATATCTTGAATTTGACACATCAGTAGAAACTAGCTAATAGCGAGACAAGTAATTATGAAGTCGGAAACAGTATTTTTTAAGTGCTGTCTTTCTTGACAAATCATATACCTTAACACGATAACCAGATTCTTGGTAACAGCAGGAACACCTAATTATTCTGCAGTCGATAGTAATGGTACTGTTAAGTCTCCCTGTGATTTCACGAAGGTCAGATAGTCCTTATAGTCTAACTGTCTCAGTCAGTCAGCCAGTCACTCACTTTCCTGTAAACTGCTTTGTTCACTACAGTTGTTATTTTTGTTGTTATTTTCAACCATAGCGTTCATTTTTAATCGGAGCGTTAGCAATCGAGGAGTTATTGAATGTGAACGATCTGTCACTCACTAAGTAACTCAGTCACTCACTCACTTTCTATGTGCCCATTAGCTATAACGTCGATGTAATTGTACGTTTTCACTGGGTCTTCGCTTCGATTGCGAATGCATGGCTGTATGTTAACATTGTCGTTTCTTGCATTGTTTATCTTAGCCATTAAACTTCGGATAAATTTCACAATCTCCAGGTTAGCGGTTGCCATTGATTGTTCATGTCGAAAAAGAAAAATTGAAATCATTTCCAGCAAAAATGTTTTGATCATTGCCAAGGTAGCCCTAATCAAGCTGAAAAGCTGACCCACCTTAAATTTAGTCCGAAAATTGATCCATTTTCCTTCAACGCTCTATCTCTAAGGTTAGGGTTCGCAGTGAATTGAAAAACTAGTTTATAGCAGTTTACAGGAGGCTGTATTTGCCTATTGATCAATAACCCGTTGACTGAGTAATATATGTATACTGTATGTAGTGTTTAAAAAAACGAGCAGGAGTGCTTTATCGGGAGATATAGACACGAGGCCGAAGGCCGAGT